GCGAAATTTGACTCAAAATGACCCAAAATGGATCCAAATTTGGTCTAAATTTAAGTGGGATTCAGCTCAGATCCCAACGTTCCCAAAATTCCAGGAATTCCCCAAAAAAATTGGGAGAAAATGGGGAAAATGGTGAAAAATGGCAAAAAATGGCGAAAAATGGGGAAAAAATGAGAGAAATTGACCCAAATTGACCCAAAATGGACCCAAATTTGACTGGGATTCAGCTGAGATCCCAGAATTCCCAAAATTCCTGGAATTCCCCCAAAAAATTTGGGAGAAAATGGGAAAAATGGTGAAAATTGATCAAAATTGACCCAAAACGACCCAAAACGGCCCCAAATCGGCTCCTCTGCCCCTCCTGCCGCCCTCCCGACAGCGCCCAGAGGCTGCTGGCCGCCGCCTGCCTGCGTGAGTCACAGGGAATTCCCGAAAATTCCCGGAATTCCCAAAAAAAATTGGGAGAAAATGGGAAAAATGGTGAAAAAATGGTGAAAAAACGGCAAAAAACGGTAAAAAAATGACGAAATTTGACTCAAAATGACCCAAAATTGACCCAAATTTGACCCAAATTTGAGTGGGATTCAGCTGAGATCCCAGAATTCCAAAAATTCCTGGAATTCCCGAAAAAAATTGGGAGAAAATGGGAAAATGGTGAAAAATGGTCAAAAAATGAGCGAAATTGACCAAAATTGACCCAAAATGGATCCAGAATGACCCAAAATGACCCAAAATGGACCCAAATTTGAGTGGGATTCAGCTGAGATCCCAACATTCCCAAAATTCCCAAAATTCCCCCAAAAAATTGGGTGGAAATGGGAAAAATGGTGAAAAAATGGCAAAAAACGGTAAAAAAATGAGCGAAATTGACCAAAATTGACCCAAAATGACCCAAAATGACCCAAAATGGACCCAAAATTGACCCAAATTTAAGTGGGATTCAGCTGAGATCCCAGAATTCCCAAAATTCCCAAAATTCCCGAAAAAAATTGGGAAAAAATGGGGAAAATGGTGAAAAATGGTCAAAAAATGAGCGAAATTGACCAAAATTGACCCAAAATGGATCCAGAATGACCCAAAATGACCCAAAATGGACCCAAATTTGAGTGGGATTCAGCTGAGTTCCAAGAATTCCCAAAATTCCTGGAATTCCCCAAAAAAATTGGGAAAAAATGGGAAAAAAGGTGAAAAAATGGTGAAAAACGATAAAAGAATGACGAAAATGGACCCAAAATTGACCAAATTTGACTCAAATGGACCCAAATTGACCCAAATTTAACTGGGATTCAGCTGAGATCCCAACATTCCCAAAATTCTCAAAATTCCCGGAATTCCCGAAAAAATCCGGGGAGAAATGGGGAAAAAATGGCGAAAAACGGTAAAAAAATGAGAAAAATTGACCAAAATTGACCTAAAATGATGCAAAATTGACCCAAATTGACCCAAATTTGAGTGGGATTCAGCTGAGATCCCAACATTCCCAAAATTCCCAAAATTCCCCCAAAAAATTGGGTGGAAATGGGAAAAATGGTGAAAAAATGGCAAAAAACGGTAAAAAAATGAGCGAAATTGACCAAAATTGACCCAAAATGACCCAAAATGACCCAAAATGGACCCAAAATTGACCCAAATTTAAGTGGGATTCAGCTGAGATCCCAGAATTCCCAAAATTCCCAAAATTCCCGAAAAAAATTGGGAAAAAATGGGGAAAATGGTGAAAAATGGTCAAAAAATGAGCGAAATTGACCAAAATTGACCCAAAATTGATCCAGAATGACCCAAAATGACCCAAAATGGACCCAAATTTGACTGGGATTCAGCTGAGATCCCAACATTCCCAAAATTCCTGGAATTCCCCCAAAAAATTTGGGAGAAAATGGGGAAAATGGTGAAAATTGATCAAAATTGACCCAAAATGACCCAAAACGGCCCCAAATCGGCCGCTCTGCCCCTCCTGCCTCCCTCCCGACAGCGCCCAGAGGCTGCTGGCCGCCGCCTGCCTGCGTGAGTCACAGGGAATTCCCGAAATTCCCGGAATTCCCCAAAAAATTTGGGGAAAAACGGTGAAAAAATGGCGAAAAACGGGCAAAAAATGGCGAAAAACAGGGAAAAAATGAGAGAAATTGACCCAAAGTTGACTCAAATGGACCCAAATCTGGTCCAAATTTGAGGGGAATTCATCTCAGTTCCCAGAATTCCCAAAATTCCCAAAATTCCCGAAAAAAATTGGGAAAAAATGGGGAAAATGGTGAAAAATGGTCAAAAAATGAGCGAAATTGACCAAAATTGACCCAAAATTGATCCAGAATGACCCAAAATGACCCAAAATGGACCCAAATTTGACTGGGATTCAGCTGAGATCCCAACATTCCCAAAATTCCTGGAATTCCCCCAAAAAATTTGGGAGAAAATGGGGAAAATGGTGAAAATTGATCAAAATTGACCCA